TCTATTTTCATTATTTTCATTTCTTGAATTGCGTTGTCAAGTTTCCCAGCCGCAAATAGACTTCATTCCTAACATTCCACGTGCAAATTCTAAAATTAGACTTCTTCAAGAGGTTTTCGCATGTTTACGACCTGAGAGGTCTCGTGGTATAAATATGTTTCTCCTCTCCGAATATTGGCCTCCTCTTTCCATGATTAGTAACGGTTTGCAATTGCAGTGTCAATTCTATGACGATTTTCCTGGGGTGCTCTATAAGCCGTTAATGCAGTGGTTCCCTTTTGCATTCTGCATTCTTATGTCGTTGACCATTATTTGTTGATTCATCTGCCTTTGGGGCCGATTTCTCAACCCCAGGACAAAAGAATGCCCTACCACTCACCAACTCATCCGCCCTAAGCCGTTGGTCAGTAAGTGTACACCTACATTGGAACCGTATTTCTCCCGATCCGATATCTGGCGACGTCGGCCGACGTCGGATTAAAAACAAACTCAACGTATTAAATCAGAGTGCCTATACTGCTTCGTTATGGAAGCAGTGTAGGCACCTAGGCACTATCATTTAATACCTTGAGTTTGTTTTCAATCCGACGTCGGGCGACGTCGCCCGATATCCGATCGGGAGAAATACGGTTCCAATGTAGGTGTACACTAAGTGGGGGATTGCTTATACCGGAAATCACGACCTCAATATGATGACAACATTTTTTATAGGTTAGCGTTGAGTCGAGGTGCATATATTTCCTGATACTGTGATAATTAATAAGTATTTGATATACGTATACATTATTTTTAGTCATCTATTTATTGTTGTCAATTGATATCGTTTTGTTTTAATATTTTAATTGTAATATTTTTAGTGTTACATGCAATTTTTTGTTAAGTTAATAATTAAGTGAAAATCTTAATTAGCAAAGACACGAAAGAATGTCAACTGCTAAATTTTAAAATAAAAACAGTAATTGAACGTTGTTGGTATAAACATTGCAAAAATATTGAACTAGATAGACAAGTTTAATTTCTGTTTAAAATTTCAGTTTTCCAATTTACTGTTTAAAATAAATTATAATATACGAAGAGTCGGCGGGAAAAGATGAAACTCCATTTTTGGGCGAAAATGAGTTTTCGCAACAGAAATATAGGTTTTTGTGAGCCGGACTCATTGGTATACTTTGCAGTGGAAAAAATGCTTAGACTCACGAGATATCTACTGAAAAAGAAACCCTCTGTGGGGAAATAACGATAAGGTTCCTAGCGTAAGCGCGAAAAATGATGAGTAGGGATGGGAAAAACCTACCGGTTTTAACCGAAAACCGGTTTTTTTACTTGGCAATAACCGGTTTTATCGGTTTTTTTTTGTGCCGGTTATAACCGGTTTTTTATTTTTAAAGTAAAAACCGGTTATTAGGTTTTTACGCTGATTAGGATTAAGTTAGGTATTATTTTGGATCTTAATCATAATAATTATTCTCAAGTAATTATTTTAAACAAAACCATAATTCAAATTTTGATCATATTGATATCGAGTCAAATGAAGTATCGCAAACTAAAGTGCATTGTAAATGTAACTTTGTAACCTATTGGATTAAAAAAACCGAAAACCGGATTTTGGAACCGGTTTTTTTTTTGGCCGGTTATAACCGCCAGGTTAGCCAAAAAAAACCGGTATAACCGAAAACCGGTGATTTGTCAAAAACCGCCATCGCTAATGATGAGGTTCCAATATTCCCGGTAATTGCCGGCAGTATATTAGTCATCGCGTCAGTCAACTTTTGATGTTTATGAAGTGTGGTTTTTTATTAGATTCGCAGAAAAACTTTTCTGAAAAATTATAGGGAATAATAATATCATAGATTCACTTCCAACTATATGAAAATTATTTATGCTTTGATTTTGACTTTAGGTAGCATTATTAAAGTGATTTGAATTAAAATTAAAAAAAAAATTATAGTGTAAAATGAAGTTACCACTCAAAGCCTCACGACTGCCGCTGGGAAAATGGCGTTAATTGAAATTGAAACAGATCGAGCCAAAACCGTGAAAAGACAGCCAACCTTGAGTTCAAAAATTTGACATAACAGCAAGGTTGAAATACCAACCCAAATAATCGGGCGGTGTATTTGAAAAGTTCAAATGAGTTTGGATGACAACCCGCTTGTAAGAGACTAACCAATAATATTCTTAGTTCTTTTTCACTGCTTAATATTGAAATAAAATATTACATATACATTAGACCACATGTGCTGTTGCTGTGCTAATTTTTTAATATGTTGCTAAATGTTGTTAGTTAATTGATTGTTTATACAATATTACCGTATAATGTCCATTTACTTGAGTTTATTCACATATTTGATAATATCATTGATGCTACATGTCTTTTTAAGGTAAAACTTATAACATCTTCTCCACGATTGTGTGGTTCTCATATTGTACTTTTTAGATGAACTGATGATGCTTTCAGAATACGAGAGCGAAACGTCCTTCAAAATAGATAAAGTAGCCTTTTTATTTCTTCACCTTGAGACCGATATAAGAACCCATCACTCGTCTGAGTGATCCTTATAATTTATTGGATTGACGGTCGTACTCCTTATCCGATATATATAATATATATATATATATATATATATATATATATATATATATATATATATATATATATATATGTATATATATATATATATATATAATATATATATATAGAAAAGGTTAATGCGAGTTAATAGTTAGTAGCAAAATAAAGTTAGTAGGTATCTGCATAGCTCGCAACAAAGGAAAAAAATATAATAAAATATTTGTTATAAAAATAATAAAATATTTGTTAGAAGGCAAACATATATACGCATTTCTGATTATTGCTCGTCAGAAGGAGGAGCATGTTAACTTGGGAAACGATCACTACTTCTATTTTATTATATTTTTTCCTTTGTTGCGAGCTATGCCGATACCCACTAACTTTATTTTGCTATTAACTCGCATTAACCTTTTCTTGTTGTTTGAAACGTTCTAAACGTTTGGCATTGTTAACATTAAGCATGTTAACTTTGGAAAGGATCACTACTTCTATTTTATTATATTTTTTCCTTTGTTGCGAGCTATGCCGATACCCACTAACTTTATTTTGCTATTAACTCGCATTAACCTTTTCTTGTTGTTTGAAACGTTCTAAACGTTTGGCATTCCTTTCCTCAGGTAGCTTAGCTTTCTCTGATGATGTATTAGTTGTTGATGTGAAATCATCAGTATTCTAAGATTAGTGCTATAAATTGGTCGCATTGCTCCTGTAGTGATCCTTTTCTAAGTTAACATTTCTTCTCAAACTTGGCCGCACCGTACTGAAGACGATCAATATTCAGAAATACGTATATACGGTTGCCTTTCTTACACATATTTTATTATATTTTTCGCGTGTGTGTGTATGTGTATGTGTATATTTGTCATTAATTGTCAACGTAAATACGTAACAATTATAGAAAAACCAAATCCCATATGTATCTGTTTATGGTGGGAAATTTTGCTCTTAAGATACACAAACTTAAAATATTTAAGCCTATAATCAGTTGTTATTTATTAAACGGTACAAATATAATCTAAAATGATTTTATAACGCTATAAACTTTACCACAACGTGTTGCTTTAATTAATGAGAAAAATATTAAAGTGATTTTAACAAAAAAACCGAATAATATCGATTCAAGAAATTGTCAACGTTTTTACCCTCTTTAAAAAGCGTCTGATTTTTTTACCTTTATCAAGATATTGATACCTTTATTATTCCAATAAACTGCTTTGTCAACATCCTTTCATATAATTAAAATTCATTAAATGAAGTGTACGCTGGTACTTTCGCGAGAATATATATATATATATATATATATATATATATATATATATATATATATATATATATATAACTATGCCTCACAGGTGTATGTTACCGTCGGTCTGATAACTATTTGGTATAATCTTAGTTTACACTTTTTGGATACATATTTTGACTTTATTTGTGATTTCAGAGTGCCTTTTGGAAGAAAGAACATTTTGTTTCCTTCCGCTATTCTTGCTTCCAGCTCGTATTTTTCCCTTTCTTTATTGTATATCACCACATCCAGGAACTGGAATTTTTCGTGAAGGCTGGAATGTATACATTGCTGGTATACAATGCCATATATTCCACAATAAAAGGCATTTTAGAGAGAATGAACAAAAGCTGATTAGATAAAGTAACCAATGTTAAAGTGACGCCGGTTGTGTAGCACATGTTTAATTTCAATTTTTATTGTTGAATAAAATGGTTAAGCAATTTACTGCGTCAAACTTTTTATTACCATAAGAAGGAGACAAATTATAAGATAAAATAGGTAAGAGATATGCAAATAAGTTTATAAAAGGACTAATCTCAAAATTTGCTATGATGAAATGTATATGAAAATCCGGCAAACATTTTGTGTTATTGTAAAGATTTATGCGTTTGGGGGTTTCTGCAACGATATGAGTTGAAAAGCCTAACATTATTTCTGCATAAAAGAAACGTAAATCAGGCGTAAACAGCCTAAAGCTGCTAATTTAAGATATATGAACGCAATAGATCTAATTAGGTAGACAAGTCTACAAAACATCTTATCCGTAAAGAACAATTGAAAAGGCAGAGAAATACTGAACTTATAAAAACCAACAAAAAATAAGACAAATATAATGCATATTATAAAACACCCTTGCTATGTAATTTAAATCATATCGGCTTATTTTTACCCTTATAAAGCTTGCCATAATTTATATCTAATCATTTTTAAGCAATATTCTGCATAATTTATTTTTATATTACCCGACTGACTCTGTGTCGGAACTTTATATACAGTATGGTTAGTTGCCTAAATCTTCTTTGCCTATAAGTCTTATAAAATAAGATCATTATTGAAAATTTGATAAAAGAAGAAGAAATTGTCATTTTATATATGTGGGGGGATTGTTTGGTACTTTTCGCTCGCAAAAATAAAGTTATAGTTTATTTTGACATTAATTATGTTGTACATGTGAACAAGTAAATATTGCATTAAATTTGCCAAAATGATGCCGTTCTTTAGTGTATTGTGTCAATTCGAAAATTGTACGAGCTAACACATTTTACTCCAAAATATATTTGCTGTTATCTGATAAAGTTTTATAGACAAGTGAATCATTAATGTGATTAAACAATACTTTATAAGTGCAACTGGTGAATATTTATATTTAAATTACCTTAAGGACAATATTTCCTAACATGAATCAGCAAGAGAAAATAGCAAAATTAAAACAAGTATTTTCAAAGACACTGACAGATCTTCTTACCATAAGTCTACATACCCAGAATGTGTGCACCGAGTTGATAAATGACTTACAAAATGAGAATTTTAGTATGATATCAGCTGATGCTGAAAGCCTGGGAGATACACTTGCAAAAATTTTAAGAATGCTTAAAGGAAATTCCACAGTTTTTGTTGACACCCTTTTATCAGAATTTCATTCTATAAATTCACAAAGACCAGCAAATTTTTTTGCACAAATGTTTTCAACTTTATTGGAGTGTAAACATAATGCAGTAATTAATAGAGATGGGATGTTTTCTTTTGCAGAACATGTGGACCGTGATATACAAACTGATTCTATTCAAGAAGAAAATAGGAGTAATATCGATATTCAAGGTAAGATCTGTACTTTAAGTAACAAGTCTTAAAGACTGTATGTTAATGAATTTCATGAAAGTTAAATATATATAGCCACATTTATTCTAAACAGGATGTATGCCTGCTGCTAACAATGGCATTAAAAACTGCAAATTTCAATGTTTACTACATCCTTTTAAAAAATATCCCATATTTGTAATATACAATATTTTCCAGGAAGATGTAAAATATAGTAGGTATATATTTGTAATGTAGATACTCATTGCTATACTGAAATTCACATTCAGGTGGCAAACGTTATAGAGGTAGGCCTGTGCTTTCTATATGTCAGAAATAGGTGCAATGTTGTCAAAGTTTTAAATATATGTTATAGGCCAGCTCCTATAAAAGAATTATAATTTCGGAAATATTTAGTAATGTAAAATGAAAAAATATTGCACTTTTGTGATTTTTTAAAATTATATAATTTTTCTATTGGTATTTTAAAAATAGAGAATCTAGTCTTTTCGCTTTTATACCTTCTCTTCAAAATTGTTAGTAATTCATGGAATTAAAATAATTATTTGTATAATCCCTTTTTGATCTTAATATCCTTTTAATTACAAAATAAAATTATTAAAAATAATTTACATTTAAGACAATATAATTATAAATTCAAAATTATTCTTTAATGTCTTCAATTTGTTTCATGTCAATGTCAAAATGGCCACAAATGTAATAGAATTCAAAATAGCTAATTTGTTAAATAGCAAATGCAAAAAATAGTGTTAAATGTTTTTAACTATTTAAATAGTTATAGTTTACATTTACTGTCAAACAGTAACAATGATAAAAGTGTATCAACAATAGTACAGGAAGTTTTTCCTATGTAAACGAGTTGTATATTTTTCAAATTTTCATTCTGTAATGCGATTTGGACTAGTTTTCTATTAAAGGGGGGGGGTATGCTGAACAGGTTTTTATATTACAAAAAAGAGCAATCAAACTCTACTTAACTTGAAATACAGACATAAATTCTTGAAACACATAACAAACCATAATACTAGTACACCAAACAATCTCATAAGCTATAATGTACCAATATATAGACTAACAGCATCTGAGAAAACCACAGAATATGCCTCTATTAAATTCTTTAATCAACTGCCTTACAGCATCAAAATATAAACTGACATAAATAAATAAAGAAAGTCTGTTCAACAGTTGCTCATAGACCTTGAACCATACAAAGTGGAAGAATAAATTCAAGCTGACCTGCGGGGAGACTGAGGGCTCTTATCTGAATCTAAATGTCACTGTTATTATTATTATATTTAAATATTACCAAAGAATATAGACGCTTATAGAAGAATCTTTCACTGTTATGTTTGAAAGTTTGCAAAAGATGATCGCACGTTATGAAAAAGAATGAGAGGGTGGATCGAGTAGGGAGCGGTCATGTCAACGCTATTATTGCTTTTAAAATATGAAAGAGTGGGGCAACAAATGCAACAGATATTTTTATGTATAATGCCAGAGAACTACGAACACATAATGCCGCGTGGCCGTAGAATAGGATTAAATTTTTGCGTTTTATAATATTTTTTAAAGAAAATAATAATATTTTAACTTTTAATAAATGAATCCTATTAGAAAAAATATTATGATTCGAATTTTTAATTTAAATAGGTACAAATCTACAAATAATATTATAGTTAATAAGAAGAACTCTCTTCTTATTAACTATAAAATTAATTCAACCAATTAAGTCATCAATCACCGGAATTAAATATTTCCAAATTTTCTAAATTTAATAATTTCTTCTTTGTTTTTAATATAAAATAACAAAATGTAAAACACAACACTGTTTTTTCTGCAGAATAATGGAAACATGTCTAAAAAGCTTAATGAAAAGTCCTGAGAAAATCAAATTTTTGGTTGAATTAACCCAAAAATTAACGAAATATTTTAAAAAAATATTTCGTTAATTTTTGGGCAGAAAAACAGTATAATAAAAATTTATGTGACGGTTTTTCGTTGTGTTGGAACAAACCTATTTTTAATTCAAAGTTATAAAATGTAAAAAATAAATGCTTTGAATATTGTAAATATCATACCTTTTTAAATTTCAAAATTCAAAATTTAACAATTTAATATATTGAAAACAAAGTTTTTATTGTAAAAAAAAACAAAAAAAGCATGGGATCTTTTTTAATCGTAGATGCAAAGTTAAATAAATAGCTCCGTTCGTACTCCTTTCCCACTTTCCCCTAACTACATCTTTTATGAGATAGTTTAAGCCGACTGCCAGATGTGTTTTAAAGTGTAAACCCTAACCAAATCGTCCATTTGAACTGTTCTTCTATAAGCGTCTATATTCTTTGATATTACTGTTGTTAAGTGTAGGTTGTTACAGCAACCATTATAAATTTTAAATAATATCATTCTCTATATTGATAATTTATATGTGTGTAACTTGTGAATCTTGAGAATAAAGCTTTTTTCTATTCTATTCTATGACTGGAGTCTCTAAACCAATGATATTACTATATAGAGGTGAAAGTAGGTAAATATGGGCCCCTTGTAACTCCCCTAAAAAAAAGAACTGATTATTCAAATTGCTATGAGAATAAATACAATGAAATAGCTCTAGAATAAGACAAGTTTTTTATGGACAAAATTCCTCCATCCATCACAGAACAGTCCTCATCAAGGAGTCAATATCGTTTATATGGATGAATTGTGGGTTAATACTAGAACTAAAAATGGATTAGTATGGAAACATACAACAATAAAAATAAATGAACTTACCACAGTTTAAAAGGAAAAGGACATAACATTGAGAAACCATAGAGATAAATCAGTTTCCACCTACATCATGTACTGGATACTAGAATGTATACCATTCTAATGGGTTTGAAAAGACACCAAAGCATCCCTGCCATGGGGCCAAATGATGAATGTATCATTAACATACTGTAGCCAACATGTGGGTTTGAGCATTGATGTGGATAGTGCTTGAATCTCAAAGTCTTGTGGGGAGCCCATTGGAGCACAATTTATTTGTCTGTAGAATTGATTTTTAAAGATGAAATAAGTGTTGAAAATACAATGTTCAATGAGAGATAAGTGGTCTTGTTGGATTCTGTATTTAGTTTTCAGAATCTCTATAGTTTTCAGAGTTTCATCTATAGGAATGTTTGCAAAGAGTGAAATGATATCAAAACTTACTAGAATGTCTGAAGGTGAGATAGGGTATTCTTTAAGAAGTTCAATGAAATGAGAATACATACATACATGTATACCATAATAGTAAAATATACGATAATTTCAGTGTATGATATGATCATCCTCTTTAACATATTGTCTTGAGTACCTCCTGTAACACATACAATGAACTGAAAACAAATATTTCTCTGGTGCTAAATTTCAAAATCATAACGAAATATAAATAAAATTAAATTAAAACTAGTGGTTGAACTGGAATGGGAACTTTACCTATTTTTGGAATGGATTTTACCTAAATTTGTGGAATGAAATAACTTTTTTCAAAGCAATAAAGTTGTTGTTACAAATTTGCACAGCAGAATGATCACAGTGTATAAAGATCTATCGCTTACTTACATGGACCCACAATATGTGAGACAAACTAATGTTGAAACAATTGGTTCTCAAGATATTACAAAATTTGTCAACAATAATAACCTATATCTAGGAATTGGGTTGACACAAAATATTAATGAGTTAGATGATGAATTGATACATGGTTTTTACGAAAGTTGCAGGCGTTCCTTGATTACAGCTTGTAGAGAAGTACAAAAAGAAATGATTTTGCCGATCCAGTTATGGGCCTTCTAAATTAAAGTAGCTTTAACAGTTGCCAAAGTCTTGTAACACGAATATCAAAATTGACCAAAATGATGCAAAAGATTGATATGAAATTGAGGAAACTTCAACAATACAGGGATATTCCAACAGAATTAAAAAATCTGGATGAATTATATTTTTATTTGAAAGTGGGTGGACAAATTCAAGTCTAATTATAAGTTCGAATTGTTTCTAAATTCCCTGTGTCCGGTTCTTCTCGATCTACGATGATAAAATAAAATTTTGAAGTCGTGGAGTAAAATATAGTTTTATTGACAGCTACTGAATTATTGCACTATAGTTGTTGTTGAGGTAAAAATTTATAATAGACTGCATCCTAAACTAGTCCCGAAGCTATATTTATAATCTCACTAAAATGCTACGATTCATCAAATAACTGTATTGCCCTGCACAGAACAAATACCTTTGACTTTTGAAAGTTGGCAAATATAATTTGAACCGAGGAAATTATTGCAGGCATTTCCTTAATAATATTAGGCAATAGTTTGCAGGAAGTTGAACAACTGTAATTAAGCTACTAATCAATATGTTTTACAATTATACATGGTGAAACTATACAAATTCAGGAAATTAAGATTAATGTGAGATTACAAATTTATGGACTAATGTGTGATTGAATAGTGGGTTTAATTAAACTTTTTGATGGCAATCCTATATTTGCTAATTTGAGTAACTCGGTATTGTCTGTGTTAACTTTACCTCATTCAAATGCAAGTTGTAAAAGACCAATTTTCAAAAGAAAATTGAATGAAGAAGTGCAGGAACCGTTTATTAAAACACACATTGCATGACATTATGCATTCATCTCAATTGGTTTATCTAAGTGTTGTGCAAAAAACCCTGAATATAACCAACTTATACAATAAAGAAGCTGATCATAAACTATAAGAAGTTAAGTTCACATTAACTGAATAGTGTATATTTTTTCAATTTAAGTTTTTCTTTTAAATAATTTGTTATAGATGCATTGTATGTTCTGTGTATTCATTTCTTTTTTGGCCTTGTGTAGTGTTCAGTCTTTAGTTGATTGTAGGCCCAAGTACTTATATTCTGGACAACATGCAATTTCTCCTCCATCTTCCAATATTATGTTTTGGTAGCTTCCTCCTATACACATTTTGTTTGTCTTCCTTGTGTTGACTTCCAGGCCTAATCTTCAATACTCTTCTATGAATTTTCTTGCCATATATTGTGGTGCTGCACTAATACTACCTGATTGTCTGCAAAACATAGTGTATCTATATTCCAAATGAATTTTTTTCATAATTTCATATTTCATAAGATAAGTTCCAAAAACAAAATTTTACAGAAGTAAAAAGCTATTAGAACATATAAACACCAGCAAAACCAAGCTAATGATTATCAGCAATAAAAACATAACTGGGGCAAATCTGTATGTGAACCAAATGAGAATTGAAATTGTCTCACAATACAACTGCTTAGGAACTGTAATCAATGACTCGTGGGACAATACTCAAGAGATTAAATGTCGCATAGGAAAGGCAAAAAGTGCATTCTTGACTATGAGCTCTGTGTTCAAGAGCCATGACCTTACCCTACAAACAAAAATAAGGCTCCTTAAATGTTATGTGTACTCAGTGCTTCTGTATGGAGTAGAAACGTGGGCATTGAAGGCAGAAACTTCCCATGGCTTGCTAACCTTAGAGCATGGTATAAAAAAGCCTCAATACAGCTATTTCGTATAGCAACCAACAAAGTCATAATAGCCAGAATGATCGCCAAAGTTCGGAATGGACAGGTACCCTATGAAGAAGAAAAATCTGTTCTGCCAACTCAAACGATGTTATTACCAGCGCTAGCATTTTTTAACTAGCAGATGAGAAAAGCACTTGCTTTTTCTCTATTTATTCTTTAATCTATATTTTTAAGACAAAATCGATGTTTTGAAAATTTTGGCTTGTACCCCCTTTTTAGTGTCAATGCCTCAATTTATTTAATAGTATGCTGTCATTGGCTTTTTGCAAACTACAAATAGCATATATATTTCCTGATCAAAAGAACTTTTTTCAATTATTTAGGTAATACTAGTACCTATATGGGAAATAAGTCAATACTCACAATCGTAAGTAGTTTTTATTTTTTAATGATTATAAATTTTGGGCTACCGCCTTCAAGGCTTACATCATGCCCAGTACTTTAGTCTTATTTTTGTTAAAAACTACAATATATTAGCTACAGGAAAGCCCTATAAATTAAGGTAATCTTGTAAACCACCACCCCCTCAAGGTATCCATTCACTCAAACCCAGTATATACCTGAATGTATAAATTTTCTATTGCATGTATATTATTATGTTAATATATAATAAGATGTTTTTCTGTAATATGTTTATTAATTGTTAAAGATGTGTTTGGCAAAATTATAAGATTAACATTTATTGATGTCACATACATGAAAACACAAAACACAATTTTAAGCACAATCTTCACCAATTATTTTCTTCCCTACTTCTCCATTGAGATCTTCAAGTATTACTATTTCTCCGATGTTAAAATTTTTCTTATTTCATCATCTATTTTTTCATAGAAATCATCTTTTTTCTCAACCGTTGCATCATCATTTACTCCGTAGATCCTTAGGATTGTCAATTTGTATTCCTACAATAAGTCTAGGTTCATTTTTTTATTCTACTGCTGATTGCTTTCCGTGTTTTATTAAATTTTCTTGATTTTTCCGGATCAGTATTCCACTCTTTGTTGCACTCGTTGATTTTTTGGTATACCACTGATATTTTCAGACCCCTTTAATTTTTTTGTTTCAGTTATTACAGCTCTATCCACATTTAGATCTTTTATATTATAAATAACTTCATTTGCATAGCAACCATATATGCTATCCTTTTCCTTTGCAATTTCCGTTGCCGTTTGATCAATTTCTTTCCGAGACATTGGTTAGGTTCTTACCAATTTTTTTTGTGCATGATAAGTGGTTGACCCAATACCGAACCCCCAGCCTGGAGGAGCAGAATTTATTCTCAGAGTGTCTTTCTCTTATATTTATATTTTCGCTACAACTGACGAATTCTGTGTATCCAACCTGTTGTTCCACTGATGGTATTTTATTTCCCACCTATCCACTGCTCGAATAAATAGACCAGAGCGGAGTGAGGACACTACCCCCCCCTCAGCCACCTAGGGACAAGCCATCTAGTGGTTATGGGTTTCCCTGATGGCTAATTAAAACTCTATAAACGCCAAAAAAATTGAACATTCATTTCAAACAGGTTATTCAAAGTTAGAACACTGTCAACTAACCATGCAACCATTTCAATTCAAAAACAGACCTCAATAGGCCTCATAAGTTTTTTTGTTTTAAATTCTTCATACCTTACTTATATGTTTTAGATTTACTCATTTTTTATTTTATATTTCTAGCACCAATTGCTTCTACAAGTAATTATAAAATCTCTGAGGAAACAAATGACAACACTAATCAGGTAAAAAAGGAATGTGATTTTGATACTGCTTCGAATTTGATTGTGCTTAAATTTGAAGAAGATTTAGATGAAAGTATTCCTGGAAAGTTAAGCTTAAGAAGACAAGATACTTCAGATACAACACATACTAATGAATCTTGGATGGATACTCTTCAAAGATCACAAGGTAAGCATTATCTTCATCATAATATAATATATATATATATATTATATATATATATATATATATATATATATATATAATATTCAGAGATAAGTCTAATTTTTAATATATGTGAAACATCCCTATACAAAGAGTATGATTGCTATTAAATATAGAAAGTAACAAGCAATTAATTTTTCAAAGTCAATAAATATATTTCTAAAAAATGCAAAGACTGATATGTTTTTGTTAACACTTATGACAAATCAAAGATTGGAAAAGAAAGTATTTTTGAAGTGTGTTAACATTTATTTCCTAACTGAGCGCTAATTTAAAGTTTACAATGTTTAGTTTATGTTATTTCTATTTTGATTCCTGTTTTCCAATCCCCATTTTAAATATTTTTAATTCTGCAGTCAATTTTGCAAATTCTGATATGCACTTTAGCTCAAGGTTAACTAATCAAGATAACTAAATGCACTACTCATTTTGACTAACAACGTTTATCATATTTCCTAGAAGAGCTGTAAATATTGTATATTTTATTTATTGATAATGGTAATAATTACTTGTAGGTGTAAAATGTTGTGACCACTATGTAGATAAGATAGTTTATCAGAATTTAAATGGGAAATCAGTGGTTGGAGGTTTATCATATCTTGGAAAATTTACGATGAAGTAAAAACTTCTTAAGTAAAATGGTATAAAATTTATTAAAAATTTTAAAAATTATCTAATTATAATGAGACAGGTGACCCTTAAATTACATAACTAAAGTAATAAATATTGTACTTATTAGGACACTACATCGATGATAAAAGATTACATTTTTAAGGAACGTGTAAATTCCCAGCTCGAACAAGGACTTGATACAACGAGCGGTAACAACCAAACTCAACCAGTTGGTGTGTTAGCATACAGTCGTCTCAGTAGCGTGCAATCATTTATTACTTTGAAGCTTTAAACTTTTCCGAGCAAATGCGTAGAATTTTTCCAATTTTTCTTTCAAGTTTTAGATTTGCAGCAAGCTTTCACAGCAAGAAGAATTGGAGATACAGGAGATGTTCACAGATAGTAAAATGTCTGACGGTGAGATAGGGTCTTGTTTAAATTTGATTTAAATTTATTTTTTGTATTGTTTAAACAATACCCTATCTCACCGTCCGACATTCTAATAAGTTTCAATATCGTTTCATTCTTTACAAAGACTCCTATAGACGAAACTCTATAAATACAATATCCAGCAAGACCACTTATCTATCATTATTCATTGTGTGTGCAAACTTGTCCAAAACGGAGCAAAGTAAAAAGTATTTACAAGAACTTCTTCCCAAGAATAGGAGCATTCTTCCCTTTGCTGTCGATATGGCTTTCTCCTACTCCTCAGAAAGCCACTAAAAAATCCGGTGTGGATTTCCAAACGTGACCGGGAATCCAGCAAACCAGGAAGTAAAACTTAAAATCCATTCCAATAAACTCAGGAAATACATTCAGTAGAAAATATCTGAACATATTTGCGCTAAATATCCTATTACATGCCGTGATTACAGAAACAATGTATTTGCATGCTTCGTTGAGTTCGATATGGCATTCGATAAAGTACAGCATGTAAAATTAATTTACATGCTAAACAATATAGGAACAGATGACAAAGATATTCGTGTCATTAAAAATCCGTACTGGAATCAAACCGCTATTGTTAAATTGGAGACAATTTCACTGACGAAATTTTCATACAACGAGGAGTCAGACCAGGGCCCTGATTCTAATTGAGATTTCGACTCAAAACATGTCGAAATTAATATGGCGACGTCGAAATGCGACTTTGCGAGCCTAGTGGATTTCAGATGAACTAACCAAAGGACGTCACTAATTTTCGATTTATCGAAATTAATTTCAACTTCAAGGACGTGGTTGACTTTTCATTTCGAGTCGAAATTAATGTGCCATGACTGGGAGAAGTAGGATTAGGTTCAGTTTTGCGTGTTGTTTTGTTTGATTCTTACAAGGAAAACTGAGGCAAAAAGTATTGGCTCAGTTTGTATGGCTGCGTTTTATGAGAAATTGTATGCGATTCGGCACATAATTGGTCGAAATTTTGACACCTATAAAAATAGAACTGCAGTACCTGGGGGCCCCAAGCCAGATGCTACTGATTATTTTTTTAAATACTGTGGTGCAAAAATTAAAGAAATAAAATGTCCCAATATTAAAACTAAATTGGAAACCACAATTTTTGAAGATATTCAACAGGCTGTAATGGAAGATAGAAATAATAAATAATTTGGTTGTAATAATTTATTTGTTCTTTTTACAAATTATGTGTTTGAATGGCATGTTCTTGAAATTCTACTCTCTTATTTGGAGATATAAAATAATCTTTAAACTCATCACGAATTTTTAGAGCGGTTATGTATTGTTATTAGTAATACATCTCCTCCTACTTTCAGTAGTTCCGATTCTATTTGATCCAATCCCTGTGATTTATTGTTTTTCAATTTGGCTACTGCTGTTCTAATCTTGGTTACTGTTGGTGCCTGGTGGGCACTTTTCTCTGATGTCTGCTTGGTTTAATTGTATATCAAAGTTCTCCTCCAGCCGCCATTATGACATAAGTTTTACGTTTTTGCGCACAAATTGACGCATTTATTGTACAAGAAACTGCAACGGGCACAAATTCTTGTATCGTTTCTAATATAAGAACTATCTTGTATGACACTATCCATTTTTTTGTTATCAGAAACGATATAAGAAATGATACAAGAAAATGCATAGTGTCATACGGCCTTAAGAAGAATGTTATGGGATACTCAAAATCCTTTTTCACTAAGTGATGCTCAATTTAGGCAGCAATTCCGCCTTAATAAACAAGCTGCAAATTATTTGATAAGGATATTAGAACCATAAAGGCTCCAAATGTTTAGGATAAGTATTACTAAGCTGCAGTAAATTTAAAAGTATGTTAGAATATAACCATTAAGTCAAAAGCCACCATAATTTCTTTTTGGTCCACAGACAATTTAGTGCCACCATCACCGACAGCCTCTCCATCCATTTTCATTCAATTCAAAATATAATAATTGAGAATGGCCACTAAAAATTTAACAACTCAAACAAGAAACAAAAGGCGTAACGTAAACAAAACAAACATTTAACAAGCGTTGTGCAGCGTGCAGCCAATAAACAAGACGACCAACCCAAATTCTGAGCAGTGTCAAAATGATAAAGTAAATATCCCCACTTTTAGCTAAAATCGAAATGAATGAGAATCGCTAGCGATTGCGACTGTCATGGCGTAGTCGCTTTTAAATTTCGACATCGAAATGAAATAGAATCAGGGCCCAGGTTGCATTTTGTTCTTAACATTTATACTCGGACCATCTACTTAAAAAGTATGGAATCAAAATCAACGGGGAACTACTTAGTAGTTCTTCGTAGGGATGTAATTAGATACGCGGACGATACAGTAATTTTATCAGAAAATATTGACAGTCTTTAAATTCTGCTTAATTGTATTCACGAAGTAGGAGAGGAAATGGCCATTCAAATAAACTCGAAACAATACCAAATTTTTAGTCTTTAATCGTAACCGATATCCATATGCAGAGAATCACTAAAATGTTGAAAAAGTTCAGAAAATTATATTTTTGGGAACTGTAATTCCGGACCAACTAGATCCAGACATAGAAATAAAACGAACAATAGCAATCACTAAAACTACTTTTATAAAAATGAAGACATTTCTTTGCAATAATCATCTCAGTTTAGAACTAAGACAAACAATGGTTAAGTGCTATATTTGGTCCGTACTTTAGCATGGAGCAACTGTGAACACTAAAAGTATTAAGTATGAATAGAATTGAATAATTTGATATGTGGATTCATAAACGAATGCTGAAGATACCTTGGACAGCAAGAAAAACTAATGGGGAAGCAGCAAATATAGAGAAGTGCTAAAGACTTTAAAACCGGGAAATGTCTTATCTGGGACAAGTAGTGAGGGGAAATCGATATAGAATACTACAACTGATCCTTAAAGGCAAAATAGAAGACCGTAGAGATATAGGAAGAAAATTGGTTTCTTGGTTACAAAACATTCGTGAATGGACTCAGATATCAAATTCAGGACAATTATTCCATGTGACAGAAAATCGAGAAGCGTTCGCAATGATGATCGCCAACGTCGGATAACTCCAATATGGCACGTGAAGAAGAAGAAAATATCTACGTACAAGGAAACAAAAGTCCCTGTACCAGGAGAAACAAGTCAGCACACAGAGAGAAAAAGTCCCTCTACAAGGAGAAACAAGGTAGCATACAAGGAGGAAAAGTCCCTCTATTGCGAGAAACCCAAAAATAATAACGAAAAATCAGGATATTTTCATTCAATGAAATATAATTTTTTCCCCAATTATAACTTCTACATAAAATTTTAATAGACAAGTATTGCTTTGATAAAAGTTTTCGATAAAAGAAAAGCATGTGTCGAATTCACAATAGAATCGGGTTACCTTTGGTGTTCATCAGAGGCAACATGATCACCGACCGCTACATCCAAGAGGTGGTGGACCAACATGTTATTATAGCATATCCACAAATTTAGTGTCTCATTATAAAAGTTATTTTAACAACAGCTGTAAAACTGAATAATCCCTTGTAAATACTCTATTGTTGTATAATTATCACAGCTATCCAAGCTGACAGGACCGGCATATAGCCAAGTCAAGTGTAGGTTAGTACATATAATCAGATCAAATATTATCATTCAAGCGTAATGTCAAAAAACTCTTTTTATAAACATACAAATTTCCCATAATTATTGTATTCTTTTATTAATGATTATTTTAAGTCTCAACGAAATAAAAGCGCCCAAAATTATGAAGATCTCAATTTAGTCAAATTGACTGGACCAGCCGTGGAAAATAATAAGTTTTAGAAAACGGGTAATATCCCAAACAACACATTAGAACTGACAAACCCGTATATACCGTTATAATGAGTAAACTTAATTGACCTATTAACAA